CTAATGATGTTGAGCATCTTTTTATTTGTTTACTTGCCATCTGTCTATCTTTTTGCGTGAAATATCTGTTCAAATACTTTGCCCATTTAAAAAATTAGATTATTTTCTTATTATTGAATTTTGAGCATTTTTTATATATTCTGTATACAAGTCATTTATCAGGTATGTGATTTGAAAACATCATCTACTTGTCTGTGGTTTGTCTATTCGTTCTTTTACAGGGGCTTACGAAAAGCAAAAGTTCTGAATTTTTAAAAATGTAATGTGCCATGAACACGTACCATGAAATCTACCATCTCAACAAAATTTTAAGTGTATAATACATTATTACCAATTATTTAGGTACAGTGTTGCCCAGCAGATCTCCGAAACTTGTTCATCTTGCTGGGCTGAACATTCATGCCCATTGATAAGAAATTCCCCACTCCCACACCCTCCCCCAGCCCCTAGTAACCATCATTCTACTCTTTGATTCTATGAGTTCGACTATTTTAGACACCTTATATAAGTGCAGTATTTGTTTTTCTATGACTGGCTTCTTTCACTTGGCATAATATCCTAAAGGTTCATCCATGTTGTTACATATTGTAGAATGTCCTTATTTTTTAAGGCTGAATAGTATTCTATTGTATGCACAGAGCGTATTTTCACCATTCATCTATTGTTGGACTTTTAGGTTGTTATTATGTCTTGGCTATTGTGAATAGTGCTGCCACAAAAATAAGAATGCTAATATCTCTATGAGATCCTGAAGTGAGATTGCTGGGCCATATTCTACTTCCATTTTTGATTTTTTGAGGATCCTCCATACCATTTGCCTTGGTGGTTGTTTTATTTTTCATTCCCACCGACAGTGTGCAAGGGTTCCAATTTCTCCACATCCTCACCAACTCTTACCTTTTGTTTGTTTGTTTGTCAATAATAGCCATCCAGACAGGTGTAAAGTGATTCACCTGTGGTTTTGACTAATATATCTCTGATGATCTTGGCACTAAGAATTTTTTTTGTACATTTGTTGGACATTCGTATGTTTTCTTTGGAGAAATGTCTATTCAAGTCCTTAGCCCATTTTTAAAATCAAGTTATTAGTTTTTTGACTATTGAGTTATAGGAGTTCCTTGCATATTTTGACGATTTACCACTTATCGGATATATGGTTTGTGATACTTTCTCCCATTTCATAGTCTGCATTCTCACTCTGTTGATTGTTTCCTTTTGCTGTGCAGAAACTGTTTAGTTTGATGTAGTCTCACTTGTTCATTTTTATTTTTATTGCCCATGCTTTTAATGTCATATTCATGAAATCTTTGTTACAGCTTATGTCATCACACTTCTCCCCTGCATTTTCTTCTAGGAATTTTACAGGTTTTGGTCACTTGGTTAAGTCCTTAATCCACTTTGAGTTGATTTTTCTGTATCATTTAAGATACGAGTCCAATTTCTTTCATTTGCATATGGATATCCAGCTTTCCCAATACTACTGAAGAAACTAAAGAGTTCATAATTTTGATGAAGTTCAAATTAATAATTTTTTCTTTTCTCTTATGGATCATGCTTTTGGTGTTGTATCTAACAAATTTTTGCCTAACTTGAGGTCACAAAAGTTCTCTTATGTTTTATACTAAAAATTGTATACTTTGACATTTTACTATTAGGGCTATGGCCCATTTTAAGTTATTTTTGTACATAATATGAAATACTGATTGAAGTTGAATTTTTGTGTGTGTGGATATACAGTTATTCCAGCACCATCTATTGAAAAGACTACATTTTCTCCACTGAACTCCCTTTGTAACTTTATCAAAAATCCGTTGTCTATACACATGTGATCTGTTTCTGGATTTTCCAGTCTATTCTATTTACATATATGTCCATCTCTGTGCTAATAACACAATGTATGTTGGTTTTATATATTATATATTATACAGTTAGACGTATTGTAACTTTATAATAAGTTTGAATTGAAGTAGTATAAGTCTTCCAGTTTTGCATATTTTCTTGAAGTTGTTATTCTGGGACTTTGCATTTCCATGTGGATTTTAGAAACAGTTTATCAATTTCTACCCTCAAAAAAGACTGCTTAGGTTTTGATTGAACTGCATTGAATCCATAGGTTAATTTGGAGATAATTAACATCCCAACAATATTGAATCTTCCAATCCATCAATATGGTATATCTCCCATTTATTTAGGACTCCTTTAATTTACTTCAGCAACGGTACATAGTTCTCGGTGACAAGTCTTTCACATCTCTAGACCTCTAAGTATTTTGTATTTTTGATGATCTTGTAAATGGTATATTTTAAAGTTTTCACTTTCTGATTTCTTATTGTTAGTATACAGAAATACTACTGATTTTTGAATATCAATCTTGTATCCTATGATCTTGGTAAACCCACTTACTAGTTCTGGTATTCTTTTCTATAGATTCCATGTAATTTTATACGTAGATAATCATGTCACCTGTAAATAAAGCCAGATTTACTTCTTCCTTAACAATGTAGATGTTTGTTTCTTTTTCTTGCTTTATTGCACTGAAGAGTGCAATGTTGGTTAGAGAGGTGGACATCCGTGTTCTGTTTCTGATCTTTGGAGTAAAAGACTATCTCTTTCTCATAAGTATTATGTTAGCTGTAGGGTTTTGCAGAAGGCTTTATCAGACTGAGGACTTCTCTTCTATTTCTCAGAGGGGTTTAACCCAGATATTCGATTTTCTTAATAGACATAAAGCTATTTAAGTTACCTGTTTCTTTCTGGGTGAACTTTAGTTGTTTGTGTCATTTAATAATTGTGTCCCTTATCATCTAAGCTATCAAATACATTGGCATAAAGGTGTTCATAATATTATCCTTTTAATATCTGTACACTTGCAGTGATTGGGACTTCTCTCATTCTTAATATTAGTATCTGTATTTTTTAAAATAAAGTTTTTATTTAAAAAATAGTTTTAGATTTATAGAAATTGTGAAGCTAGTACAGAGAGTGCCTATATATCCCACACCCACTTTCTCCTATTATTAACTATTAACATCTTACATTAGCATGGTAAATTTGTCACAATTAATGAACCAATGTTGATACACTATTATTAACTGAAGTCAATACTTTATTCAAATGTTCTGTGTTTTTACTTCATAACCTTTAATTGTTCCAGGATCCCATCCAAGATATTACATTTAGTCATCATTTCTCCTTAGACTCCTCTTGCTGTAATAGTTTCTCAGATTTTCCTTGTTTTTGATGACTTTGCTAATCTTGAGAAGTATTAATCAGGAATTTTTTAGAACAAACTGCAATTTAGGTTTGTCTGATGTTTGTCTCATGATTAGACAGGGGTTAAGGGTTTGGGGAAGGATGACCAGAGAGATGAAGTGCCATTCTTACCACATTGTTTCAGGGGTACATACTATCAATATTACTTTTCGTTGTTGATGTTGACCTTGCTAACCAGCTGCAATAATGTTTGTCAGGATTCTCCACTGTAAACTTACCCTTTCCTCCTCCCTTTCCATAGTATACTCTTTACAAGAAAGTCACTATTCACATTCCGCACTTAAGAAGTGGGGAATTATGCTCCACCTACTTGAACACACAGTATCTGCATAAAGTACTTGGAATTTTTCTGCACAGGAGACTTTCCTAAACTTCTTCATGTATTTATCCAATCGTTTATTTCTATTTGTATGTATTCACGGATGTTTATTTTGTACTTTGGGTTTTAATCTGGCATATTTAATTAGTTTGTTGCTCAAATTGTCCCAGTTTTGGCCACTGGGAGCTCTTTCAGCTGTGTCCCTTTGACACATCCCCATCTTTGAGGGGTTTGGGGGGGCAGGTTGGAGTAGGTTTTTTTAAAGCACTTCCTTATTCTCTGGCATCACAAGATAGATGCTGCAGGTTCATCTCATATATTTCCTACCCCACACTTAAAAGCAGGTATCTCTTTTTTTTTCTTCTGACCAGTCTGTCTAATATTAATGAGTTTAGAAAGGGAGTATTTCCAGAGTTGGTTGACATGAAGGCTAAACAAAATCTAGGACCCAGAATATTTTTGTTTTCCTCTTTTACAGTCCTCAGTATGCTGGTTTATCCTTTTGGGTGAGCTCCTCTAATGGTCCCAAAAAGGCTGCTGTAGTTCCAGGCATCACCTCTTCACATATCACATCAGGAGCTGAAAAGGGAACATGCCCACCTCTTTCAAAGGCAAAGGAAAATTTCCCATAAGATCGCTACAAGATTATGCCTCTCATCTCATCAGCCAAAACCATATCACAAACCTCCTCATAAACCAATCCCTGGGAAGGGAAAGCAAGACTCTGGGTCTGGGGGGCATCTGGGTCTGGGGGGGCATCTGGGGCCACTGCAAGGCCATCCTAATCCGAATAGCATTGCCAGACTTTGGAAGGTAATTAAAACTGGGATTCTGTTCATGTAGAATAAGGGAAGTTAGGGTAATGGCTGTATGCAAGAAAACTAACAGTGTCTGCCTTAGGCTGTTAGAATTAGATATCTCAGAGAAGGGGATTCAGGGGTATTATGATTGGCACAGATGGTGTGAGGGGGATCAGGGGGAAGACAGTGTAGCACAGAGAAGGCAAATAGTGCCTCTGTGGAGTCTTACTACACTGATGGGCAGTGACTGCAATGGGGTATGGGGGGGACACAATGATAGGGGTGAACATAGTAACCACATTGTTTTTTCATGTGAAACCTTCATAAGAGTGTATATCAATAATACCTTAATAAAATAAATAAATACATACATACATACATAAATAAGATAGGAGATGGGAGATTTAAAAAAGTTTTATTGAGATATAATTGACATACAATAAACTTGTACATATTTAATGTAAAAAAAATTAGATATCTCAGAAATATATCTTCACTGATAGAGACATCAGTCCACCGTTGGGATTTGGGCAGAAAGTGTGTGTTAAGTAGGAGGGGGTGGTGGGTGATGGGGGGCTTTACTGAGGATAACTTGTTAGTGCACTGAAATGCCACAGTGATACAAAAGACTCTTTCATCCTTTCTTTCCCTTTCTTCTATTGTCTTTGTCATTTTATTTTTACAACTGCCCTCCTCCCCGCTCCAAGTTCTTTCAGGACATTTTCTGCTCCAGGTCTTTTTCCTTCTCAAAGAACCATGTAAATTTCTAAACTACCAGCCTCCCTTCTGGGCACTAAACAAATTGGTAAGCCAAGCATCTGTAAAAGACCTCCAGTGCACAATGGAAGACTGTAGGTCTCCGCCCTCTGCCCTGGAATTTTTTCCATAGCTTGATAAATGAGAATCAACAAAGGTAAACTTTCTTTGTACCAAACCCATAGTCATGGGGCACATGGGCTTAATGTGGGCTAAAGGAAAGGTGAGAGGTTAGGTGAGTACAAATGGGACGTGGAAAAAAAAAACAGAAAAGGAAAGGTGACTCTGTCTTCAAGATTTACAACACATAGTTAGAAAATAAAGCAATGTTCCCTACTGGTGCCCTACATATCACCCTATGCTCCAAATAAATTATCCTCTCCTTCCTGTCTCTTTCTTGCTGTGCTTATTACAGCAGTTAGCCCATGGTCATTTAGAGCTAATGAAAAAATGTAAATTCCTAGGGGGTTCCTTTTTTCACATATTAAGAACTCTGGAGGGAAGCCATTGCTGCCTTTTGTTTAGCTGCTCAAGCTCATTAAGAACTCAGCTCTTTCCACCCTGCCTCCCTCTATTTGTTGGCTTTTTGTCTTTGTGTCTGTTGCTTCATCATCACAAGATGGCTGCCACAGCCCCAGGAATTATGGCTTCATTCAAAGTCAGGATGCGGTGAGGCAGCCAGATACAGAGGGCTAATGCTCCTGTCTTACATCAGAGGAATCAAAGATATTTTTTACAAGCTCTCAACAGATCTCCCCTTCATCTCAGTGACTGAAACTTGGTCATACAGCCCCTAAAAGAGCTGCAAAGGTGGCAGCAAAAGTGAGTGCCTCGCAAATGGAATTAGCTTAGCCATGACTGGCTTAATCCAATCACAATTCATCCCTGGGAGCTGGATAAATCGTGGCTCCCCCACACTTTGCCCCCACAAAATCAGAGTTCTGTTAGCAAGAAAGAAAGCAGAGAAATAGCAGGTAACCAGGTCTGCCAAGCCATTTGCATATTTGCCTTTTATCCTATTCACCTCATCTGTACTGGCCTCATCAACGCCCTCAGCTTACTCAACATCAATTCCTACTTCAAAATGGCTGATCTTACTTTTAGATTCCACCCAGAACCTGTAGTTCCATCTCGAGAGGAAAACTGAACAATGCCTCTGGCCCAGTGGAAAAGCCCAGGCCCCGGACTCTGCCTTCCTGGACAGGAATCCTGGCCAAGCCTTTTCCTAGTTGCAGCCTTTAAGGAATTGATTTGACCTTCTAGGAGTGAGGACCCTGCCATTTTCTTCTCCGCCTGAAGAACATGAACAGAACGACTAGCACAAAGCTGTCTTCCACTTTTTAAAAAGTTGTTGGATGGATAGATGACTGGTTACATGGATGGATGATGGAAAGATAGTTGGGTGAACAGATCACCTCTACACCTTCCCTCCGAGAAGCACTGAAAAGATTAAATGAGGTAAAATACAGGAAAAGATTGAAGGACTCTTGGCACACTGTAAATGCTCCTTAGGCACAAGTAGAAACTGATCTTATCACTCTGCTACTTCAAAATCTTCAGTTTCTGCACCGGGATCCTCACCCTCTCCCCTGGCCCTGCTCCTCCACTGACACACTGCACATGCTCAGTTATGTTCTCATCACCCCTGGGGCTTCTCCCCACCTCAGGCCACTCCTTGCTCCATCCATCTGCCTACAGAGCCTGGATGCCTTCCTCAACTACCTCTTTTGTCAGCCTGGCTGCCGGCTCAGATACCTTCGCTGGCTCCCTCCATCACCTCCTTTGTTAAGTGCCAATGGCTCACCTGGGACTCTGGACCCTGTACAGTGAGTCCCCAAGTACTCTGGTCGCATCTCTCATTTGGCCTCCTCCTCCCCTTTTTCTTTCTTTATTTTGAAACATGGCATATATTCAAAAAGAGTGCTCCTAATAGATGTACAAATTATTTTTATAAGGCCACACTTGTGAAACCACTACTCATGGTAAGACAGATAGGTCAAGTCTGTAAGTCAGCTACTGACTTCCGTGCATTCCCCCCTCAGCCATTTCCCTCTTGCCTCAGAACCAACACTTCCCTGACATTTGCAGAATCATTCTCTTGATTTCTCTTTTTTTTTATTGAAGTGTAATTGACATAAAATAGCCTATTAGTTTCAGGCATACATCATAGCAATTTGACATTTTTATATATTAGGAAATGAACCCCACAATAAGTCTAGTTACCATCTGTCACCATGCAAAGTTATTGCAGCATGATTGACTCTATTCCCTTAGTTTCTGCATAGTTTTGTCACCTATTCCTAATTAATATATTTTTTAATGTTGCCAGATTCTGACTTTCCTATAGGTTGTATCATTCTATGTTTATAATGCTGTGACTAGATTCTTTTTTTAACAACTTTTTGGAGATGTGATTACATACCATATAAGTCATCCATGTACAGTGCAAGTTCAATGGTTTTGGTATATTTAGCATATTTAAGGTAGCCATCATCTTGATCTAATTTTAGAAAACTTTATCACCCAACAAGAAGCCCTTTAGCACCCCCTCAACCCTAGGCAGCCACAGTCTATTTTCTGTCTCTGCAGATTTGCCTATTCTATTTCTTTCATCTAGTGGACTCATATTTATTCAGCCTTTTGCATACGTGTGCTCTCACGAAGTTAGGCGACTCTTCTCTCCCAGGTGCCAGAACCCTAGTCATTCTGTCTGGAAACCTGCCCACCGGGGCTGACAACTTCCACAGGACCCAACCCCAGTCATCTCTGTTTCATGAAGCCTCTCCTCTTTTCCACTCCACTCTTGTATGATCCTTTTCTCATCGGATTCTGAAAACGTGCTGTGTGTAAGTTTGTCTTACAGGGCCTTGGCTGGTTCTGTTTCCTGTCATTCCCCAGAGCCAACTCAGCAGGCACAGAGCAGGTGTCCTACGGTATGTGCTGAGAGAAGGGAGAACATGCATGTCATTTTGCTTTAGATCATTATACGTGTGCAAAGAACTAGTACTCGAATGGGGGGAATTCCCGAGGTACAATCAGAAGGGATGTTTGCTTTCCCCTGAAAGGGCTTGTCCAACCCCCTCTGTGGGACTGGCTCTTCCCCTGCTCTCAGAGGACAGCTCAGGTAGGCCCATGGCTTTCTGCACACTCTGAAATAATGCTTTCATAACAGCCAACCCAGGTTAACAGTCAAAGCTCCATTTTAAAGCTGAAGCCCCTCCCTCAGTCCATTTACGCTTCCTTCTGGCCAGCCCCTGGAAGCATGTGGCTGGTTTCTTCTCTTTCCCTCACCTTACTGGCTGCAATTCTAACCTCCCCAGTTAGAATCAGGGAGGGGGCAGAGATAAACCGTCACCAGCCATGGCTCATGTGTGAAGCCAACTAACTCTCTCTCTGAGCCTCTCTCCTGTCCCCCAAAGCTGGAATGTCTCCCACCTGCCATGCCCTTGACTCAGCGTCCCATCTAGTTGGTCACTTAATGCCCTCCCTTGGTCCCTGGTCACCTAGCAATATCTCCAGCCCCATTCTGCTTCTGTGATTCTCTGTGATAACCTCGCAGGGCTCGCTCTCACGGGGCTCACCTTGTCTGCAGTGCACAGGCTTCCATGGCCTGTGGTCAGGGGAATTGCAGGCACACAGCCTTCTTCCCTATGGCCTCAGTTGGCCTCTGGCCTGTGAGAATGCACACACTCGATCAGGCTCTGATGCCTTGGGTACCTAAATCCTGGAGACACCTGACGAGCTCTCCAAAGGTGTCTTTGAAGCCACCTCCCTCCTTGGAGGCATAAAACTTTTTGCACACTGCCCATTTCTTTTCAAAGAAATCCTCTCTCTCATCTCTAGCCCCTCTCTTGGCCTCTCCAGTGTTCTGAATAGTCTGCAGCTAGGTGATCAGCAGGGGCACTCAAAGCCAGTGTCCTACAACCCCAGTGCAGTCGTGCGGGGAAAACCAGGCACCTCACTTCAGAACGGTACTGCTCTTGCCTCCTATTGACCTGGGGCCTCAGCCAAGCCTGAGGCAAGAATCCCATTTAAACTCGCTGGACCTCTCATGAGGCTCTGTGCTCCTGGGAGCAGCAGCTCTGCCACCATCTTCTTTGCCTTCTCCCCTCTTACCTGGTGCTTAGCTGTGCCATCTCAAGGTGCTAGGAGGTATTTCGGGGGAAAATAGCAGTGGTGGTGACCCCGCAGCTTGAAGGAGCATGGAAGAGGAAAAGACAGAACTGAGTTCAACTCTGGGGTGATGACTCAAAGGCTGGACTTTAGAAATTTCGTTCTAGAAGTTACTCAGGCTTGGAAGCTATTTTTCAGTGCAATCAGAGATCTCCCTGGTCCAGTCGCCTTTGGACAACTACAAGTATGTAGCATAAATAATATCACACAGACTGGCCTTGCAAGGCTGAGAATGCACACAATGGGGAAAATGAGGCCTGAGAGGGAACAGAGGATCACTCTCCCTGCATCTAGGTACCTTCAAGGATTTTTCTAGATAATCCTGTTCCCAAAAATCAGATCCATCACCAGTCACTTCTTTGAAATATGACATATTGGCCCTTTGTCTAAGCCTGATGAAGGTGTGTGCTCAAGGTCTTAACCAGGTAGAGAAGCAGAATTTATTAGCAGCATGAAGAATTCTGGGATAAGAAATTATTACAAAAAGCACCCAACTTCTACCTCAGCAACAGATCCTGCAGACCACACTGTGACCTGGATCTCTTTACTTTGCAACTGAGTTACCTCTGAAATTCCTGGGGTTTCACTGACACTCATTTGTTCGTCAATATTTATTGACACTAGCTAGCAACTCTTCAGTTAAGGGCTCCAAACTTGTCCCTTCTACTGATTTCCCTGCCTTGGTTTTAGCCATCAGCCTCCTCTCAAAAAGACTACTCTAGAAATGGCCCACAAGAAAGGAGGGAGAAAAGACCCTCCTTTCTCCCCCATTTTTGCTATGGAATCTACCTCCCAAAGGCCTTCCCAATCTACCACTTCCCTTCCATACCCCCATGGACCCCAATCAGGTCCTCACTGTCATTCAACAAATGGACTTGCAAAAAAGAGCTTTCTAACTAGTTCACCACCCACCAGTCTCTCTTGTCCATTCTACCTTCAGCATAGCTGCGTGAATCAATGATGTACCATCCCAAATCCATATGTTGAAGCCCTCAACTCCTGGACCTCAAAATGTAACCATATTTGTAGACAGTGCTTTTAAAGAGGTCAAAGTTAAAGTGAGGTCACTAGGGTGGGCCCTACCCTTAAAGGAAGAAGAAGTTTGGACACAGACATGCACACATGTAGAGGGAAGACCATGTGAACACACAGGGAAAAGGTAACTGTCTCCAAGCTGAGGAGAGGCCTCAGGAGAAGCTACAGCTGCCGACACCTTGACCTCGGACTTGCAGCCTCCAGGACTGAGAAACTGAATCTCTATTGTCACTGCCATGGGCCTGTAGTTCTTTGTTACGGCAGCTCTAGCAAACGAATGTAATGCCCACTAGCCTCCTGTACACAGATCTGCATGTTCTCCTGCTGATAATCATTCTATAGCCCTCAGATGCCCCATTTCCTTCGGGATCAGGCTCAAAGTTCTTAGTATGGCAACATTTAGTACTTCTTCCCAGCCCAGCCTGACTCTCTGACATCATATCGTGCTTACCTATCGTGGCCCATGCCACCATCCTTAATCCCATAGCCAAACACATCAGCATGGACCACAGGACACACTGTGCCTTGCCCACCTCCCCGACTTGGCACAGTAGTCACTTCTGTCTGGGAATCGCCCCCTCCGTGCCTCCCTCATCCTTCAAGATGGGCTCAAATGTCACCTTCCCAAGAACTCTTGCATACATTCCCAGGCAGCATTTGTCCCCCATCCTCTGGGCACTCCCTCAGTATCTCTATCAGAGCTCTTACCTTTTTGCAGTGAGTTCCTTAAGACAGGGATGGTATTTTACTCATCAGTGTAACTATAACACTGATGTAACTTTACTGAGTAGGTACTCAGTAAATATTTGTTCAGCGGCTGATGTTATGTACTTAATGTTTATCTTCCCGTCCAGATTCGTATGTGGCAGCCCTCACCCCTAGTGTGATGGTATTTGCAGATGGAGCATTTAGGAGGTGATTAGGCTTAGGTGAGGTCAGAAGGGTGGGGCTCTTGTCTGATGGGATCGGTGCCCTTCTAAGAAGAGACAACAAAGAGCATTCTCTCTCAGTCAGCCTCACCCCATCTGGCTTGTAGGGACACAGTAAGAAGGCGTCCACTTACAAGCCAGGAAGAGAGTTCTCACCAGCAACCAAATCAGTCAACACCCAGCCTCCAGAACTGTGAGAAAATAAATGTTTGTGGGTTAAGCCACCTTGTCTGTGGTATTTGTTGTAGCAGCGTGAGCTGACTAAATTGGCTGGATGGCTGAGTAAATGAAGGGGCTACTTCCTAAATATTTTAATCAACAACTCTTTCCCAGACCTGGGAATTTCTCCCTTATGTGTTGTCTGCCTGACACCCAATCTCAGGCCCCATCTGTCTCATTCTCCGGACACTGACAAGTTCTCTTGAGATCTTAGACCTTTCCTAGGTGTATAACACCATCTGCACCATCTCCTCTTTCTAGCCACTTTCTCCTTTCAGGGCTTGATAATTGCCTTTGAATTTTGCTAAAAAGTATGAATTTTACTTTTTCCACCCAGAAACTTCCTTGTGTCTTTCTTTTCCCAGGGGCCTCTTTGTGTAAATCGACCCTTCCCAATCACCTCCCTCATCTCAGGTCTTTGCCAGTGTCACCCGATCACAGTTGGATTATTCTGTCCTGGAGAGGTGGTGCCTCAGCTGGAAGCTTAAGCCCAGCCTGAGCTGCTTTCCTGGATGCAAAGCCAGGACTGTTCAAATTTGCCTCTGGTTATGTAATTGTAATTTCCACAGGCTTTCTCTTACAACGTTTATAATATAATACCTTCAAGCATGCATAGCTCTAGTAACTGATATTAGTTTAAACATACCTTTAACTGAAATGGAAATATCGCCCACCTGGGACGCAGGCATTTCATTTCAGGGTTGGCCATTACTCTCCTCTACCCGTATGCAGGAAAACCTGTTGTGTCAACAAAGAAAACTGTGGCCAAGAACTGAAATTTTCTCACCCGTATTACTGACATTTCGGTAAGCCTTTCCCAACCCACCCTCCCACTCAGCATGTGAAGGAGTCTCAGAACTGCAGGGCAATGAGCTGAGTACTTGCTTGCTCTGACGTCAAGGAGCCTACAGGGGGCTGGCGGAGGGTCTGGATCATCCAAGGAGAAGAAAACCCCAACTGAACTGGGATTTGGAGGGTGCAGTAGGGGAGGGAAGCCTTAGAGACACATACCTGTTCTAGAATGACGCTGTTCAATACTGCAGCCACTAGCCACATGCAGCTATTTACATTTTAATTAATTAAAGTTCACTAAAATTTAAAGGGTGGTTCCTTAGTCACACTTATCACATCTCAAGTGGTCACAAGCCATATTTTTTGGACAGTGCAGGTTTCCAGCACTGCAGAAATTTCTGTTGGTTAGCTCTGATCTACATTGTATCTAATGCTTATAAGGAAGACCAAAATGTGAAGTTCCTATTGTTAAAATGAGTGCTGGGAAAATATGGAATGGATTTGGTGACTTCACTAAGAGTAAAACATGATTTAAAAAAGTGATCATTCATAGGTTCTCTGTCAATGCTGGTGAAAGAAAGGAATGAAAGGCTAATATGAATGATAGTCAGATGGTTTTCAGCACTGAGGTGTCTCACTGCAGAGCCACAGAACCTATCAACTGCACAGCAAGAGAAAACCAGTGGCCAGTGCCTAACTTGTCTGAAATCCTGTCAGGAAGATGGCAAGCACTTTCCTGTCTGAAGAAGTAGCTTCAAATGTCTACGTGTGATTGCGCAGACACGGGTTACAGCCACTCAGGTATTTGATGCGGCTATCTGAAAGACCCAATATAAGGAAGGAGAACAATGTCACCTTTAAATAGCTCCTAACCCCTACTTACACATCACTTCCTTTTCGTAAGGTCATGTCAGATGACTGACCAGTTATGCAATAACCTATGGGGGTGCCATGGCTGGGGGAGAAAAACACCCATAAGAGAAGGAACTCGTTGCACGTGTCTAAGCCTGTCAGGAAACAAACCCCAAGAATCTGTAATCCCAAGGAATCTTAGTAGTTGGATTCTGGGTGGGGCTCATGACAGCGAGTGGATGGCCATGTTTCTGGCTTCCCAGCCCATCTCTCTGGGTGAGCCACTGCTCTGTTCATGCCTCCCCCAACTGTCAGGGAGGAAATGGTTAGTGTGTATTCCACCACCATACTGATTTTTCAAGACTCTTTAACAGAAATCCTGCAAGAGTAGCCTTGACTTCTGGGCTCTATGAAAGATCTGAAGAAATTAGCTTTGCTGACTCCTCACTCCATCTGCCCTGTGTGGTGGGCTGGCCAAAGTGCAGAATTATCCAAAGAAGCTCTGGAATTGGCAAGCCTACCCACGTGAGCATGACCCAGCCAAGCCTGACTTGCCAACATCCGGGCTTTTCCACTCATGCACAACAGCAGGATTCATACTCTACTGCTTAGCAACAGTGGCCTGGGGAATTGCTTCCAGAAGATCTGTGATTGGCAGGATGTCTGAGATTGGCTATTGTTAGTGGTGAAACCCACCTGTAATCTCCACTTCCTCACACTCTGACCAGCAGAGGACAATGATGGAAGGCAAGCCCAGCATGGAAGCAGGCTTCTGCCCAGCCTGGACTCTGCTCCCATGGACTCCCACTCCTGCCCTTCCCAGAGCTGTCACCCACCCTTTCCCTGAGCAAGGAGCAAGGGAAAGTCTCTGCACCCACACTCAGGGGCTGGCAAGCTTGTTCACCAGCTGAGTTCAGAGCATAACCATCATCTCTTGGGGATCACTCAAGAAAGCTGTGTGCACACATGCATGTACATGCATGTACACACACCCCATACACACATATACACACACCCTACATGCACATACATATACATTCACACACATACATACACACAACTCACATATATCTACAATCACATACATACAAACTCACATACACAACACACACATACAGAAATACATGCTTTTGAGAACTCAGCCATCACCAGAGCTATTTCGCCTGGACACCCAGGGGACATTAGGAATTGGCCCAAGCTCAGGGTATAGACTGGGCTGTTGTGCAGTGTTTTCAGTATACTGTCACATCAGCATATCGCTCACTGAAAGATATGTAGTATCTACGGATGGAATATCTTATGATCTGTGATATTACATGTATTGTATATACAAGATGTATGAGATATATATGATTTCCATGAACAGGTCAACCAGAGAAGAGTCAGGAAAGGGAAGTACTTGGGAAATTGGTCCACTGGCTGACCAATCACGCAGCCTGGGCTGCTGGTTCGTAACCCTGTTAACACCCACGTCAGGCACTGTGGCCTCTTCTGTTCTAGGGAGAGGCTCTGGCTGAAAGCTTCAGGAATCTAGCTATTTCAAAGGAATCTGGAAGAAATAAGGGCTGATAGAACTGCAGAAATGTGATTTTTTAAGGTGGTGCTACTGGCTAATAATATCTGAGCTTCAGGGTGTGCTGCACACACTTCTGCAAACATGAGCCAATTAGCCTGTACTCAGAGGTGGGTGTGCATGCAAATGCTTACCACTTCAGCTTGCAGAACCACTTAGCTCTGTCACACTTCATGTAGCAACATGCCAAGTGATCACTAACAACACACTGGGTTTTAAATACCTGGATTTAAACCAAAAATGCTGGGGATCTCAGAAGCTGTGCATGCATTCAAATTAGAATTCTCCCTCCCTCCTCCAAGCTCTTGGCTGCTGTGCATTCCTCTAGACTCTAACACCCACTCAGTTGTCTCCCTCCTCTACAAAGACATCCCCAGCTATGCTTGCTCAGAAATTGAACCTTCTCCATAGTGACCAATATCTTGGTTTGCCCAGGACGTCACCATCTTAGCACTGAAAGTTCCAGATTAATCCTGGGAAAACCACGATGGCTGGTCACCCTGAGTCTCTCACCACCTACAGGATCTGTAACATGTGATTTTGCTATTAATTATACTGTATGCTGTCTAGTAACATATGCTACTGACTCATAAACTGAGTTGATCCCAAGACTATAAACTCTCAAGTCAAAGGTCCTTTTTTAATCTCCTTTGGTATACCTGATTTGGGCACCAAGAATTGCACATTGACTTAATTTCTTTTAATACCAGGTCTCTGCAATGATGCAATTCAAAATAAGACCCTAAAAGGTTTCACCTTCTGAAGGCAAGATGGAGCTTTCCCACCAAATGGTGTCTTGAGCCCTGATCCTCAGGGTTGAAGGTCCAGGCTGAGAAGGGTCTCTGGGGTTTGCCCTGACGGTAGAAGAGCCCTTAGCAGCCAACCCTTCTCAGTCAGTCGCCAGAAAGTTTTTTTAAAGACAGATTCCCTAAGAACAAAGCAAAAACTGAAGGAACAAAACAGCAGCAGACTCACAAACCCAAGAATGGACTAACAGTTGCCAAAGGGAAAGGGACTGGGGAGGATGGGTGGGAAGGGAGGGATAAGGGGAAAAAGGGGTATTATGATTAGCACACATAATGTAGGGGGTACACAGGGAAGGCAGTACAGCACGGAGAAGACAAGTATTAACTCTACAGCATCTTACTAAGCTGACAGTCGGTGACTGTAATGGGTATGTGGTGAGGACTTGACAATGGGGTAATCTAGTAGCCACAGTGTTGCACATGTGATTGTATATTAGTGATACCATAATAAATAAATAAAATAAAGACAGATTCCCAAGGGTCCATTCCCAGAAATTCTGCTTCAGAACTGTAGCTGGTGGTTCTGATTTCACTGGTCCTTGAAAAATAGAGTCAAAACCCTTTCATGCAAGCCAGGTGGGACTACCCATTGCGCCAATCAAAAAAGGCCACTTACAGGAGATCTTTCCCACTTGCTAAATGGGATCCTGCCCGATTCCTGAACTATTTAATAAAGCCAATTAGACCTTCAATTTTATTTAAATGGCCACTTACAGTAAAAATCCACTTTAAAAAAGAAAAAGATATATATATTAAACATTTTATTTTAATTAAAATATGTTAATGTCCATTCCTCTGCCTATCTTTGGATGAATGCCTAAAGCTTATCTTGGGTGTGGATTTGCTGATTGGATGGCCTCATTGTTTTCCTTATATAAATCACAACCATATATTTCTAGTTTTGACTCATTTAAAATAGAACAAGAATTTAAAGATACTTGTGAAGTGTTCTCAGTGTGGAATCCTTCCAGATCCTTGCAATACTTTTTCAAATCGTTTTACAGTTGCCTCAACCACACCAAATTAAGGAAAAAATTTGAGCAACTCGTATTTGTTGAGTCTCATGGAAGCATTCAACTTAATTCTCATAGACACAACTCTATGAGATAGATTATATCTTTTGGCCCAGAACGTTAAGAGACATGAAAAAAGAAGTGTTTGTTTCCTTGTTCACAGATTTATTCTCTGGGTAAAGAACAGAGCCTGGCATGTTGTGTCAGTTTGTTTTCAAAAAATTATTTGCATAATATTAAATTTAATCAATTGCAGTAATAGTACAGTCAGCATATAAAAATCTTAGGGAGCTAATGCAACTGACTTGGTAAGCACAGCAGCTAAATCAGCAAGTGGGTGAGAGAGTGGTTAACTAGCTGTGAGCATTCAACTTGCCAGGGGCATCAGTTAGCATGTGTCCTGGAGGAGCTGAAGAGCATCCAATAAGCTGGGGAATCAATTAGGTGAATGTTGTTAGGACTTTCCTGTCTCCTGATAAGATAAGGAGCCTAGGTCAACTGAGGACTGACAGATAGTCAGAGGAAGGAGTCAGGCACAGCTTTTCTCACTCCTGGTTTGGCAAAAAGCTCTTCTCCCCAAGAAATCATTTAACTTCTTTCTACCTATTCTTTATAGCTAGGGGCTCCTGTGGTTCGCAATAAGGGGTACATATTCTACCATGATTTAAAGAGCAAAATATCCACCTGTCCCTTGATATTCTT